TGTATTACATAAACCAGATATTTCAGGATACAGAAATTTAGTTAAAGCCCTCTCTTTTCCTGAGTTCTGGCTGCATATGTCATTCAAGCTTTGCTCAACCTACTGTACACTGATTATTACCCTAGATTTGAATCTTGATCCTCCTAGTTTACTTTCCTATATGCATTGTCAAATCACTAATATCCTATTGCAAGTCATCTTACCTACCAACAGATAGCAATTTTCCCTGAAATGACTCTTCATTTAAGACTATATGTTGCAATCTTCTATCATTTTAGTGATTTAAATATATCATCTGTTGAATGTCCTGGTCTTGGCAGCAAAGAATTTTCTCGCCAGATGGTATATGAAAATAATATGAAATAAAACATTTATTTTTAATTGGGAAAAAAAAAGTTCAGTTGTATTTGTAAATACCATACTGCAACTGGAATACAGAAAAAAACATTTTCCCAAAACATAAATAGTTGGCAGCTATCCCTCAGAAATAAAAATCCCTCTAAACCTAAAAGTAGCCAATATGTCACATTCTCCATATGAAATTGGTCATAGTTAGATTACACATTTACCTTATGCCCTGTAGCAGTGAATAGGGCAGGCTACAAGGACATCATAACTACCATATAGATGTCTCCATTCATTAGTTCCCATTTCTCTCTCACCCCTTTCACTGACAGTATAAGGCAGGTGCTTACAAAATTGCCTCCGTGAAATTTACTTTCATAATGTTTAACCTAACCAGATCTGACACCATGCGCTGCATGTGTTCTGTTAGGAAAAACAAAAAAACAATGTTAAGGGATCACCGCTTCTTACATCCAAAATAGAAACAGAACTACAGGGACATAAAAGAATGAGATGGTTACATCTCTGCATTACCATTTTGGTAATAAGATGATTTGGAGTTCGACGAATTTGCTTACAGCAATCAAAGTAAATGAAACTGGATTAACAGTAACATATGTGTATCTGTGTGTGCATGTGTATACATTTATACATGTTTATAAATAGATGTTTGGAGAGGCAAAAGTAACATTTTAAAATTGATTTAAAGGAATTTCAATGCAGTAGCATGCATTTCAAAGTCAGAATATGACACTGCAAGTATAAGCTGAAGTAAATTAATGCAGCCATAACAGTAATGATTTTCAGAACAGTAATAGTACACAGGGGGTTTTTTAGATGACATGTGGAAATTAATACTAAGCGGGCATTAAAACTATCACTACTCTGGACACTTTAAATCATATTAATTTTTGAATTAATCTTAGATTAAATAGATAGTTAAAGCTTTTAAAAGCTATAAAACTGAAACCTTACCGTTAGAATCACATCATTGATTGCTACATGGTCTAGCAAAGGCAAAAGCAGAATATGGCCAATCGTACAATTCTGTTGTGTTACCAGCAAGTGTATTTGCCACATCCACACCAGTATTTGAACGCCATTTTAGCCAGAAAGCCTTTCCAAGACCTACTCGACCGAGCCTAAGGAGGAGGAGGAGGAGGGAGGGTCTTCTACACTGCATCACAAAAATTTGTCCATGGATCATTAATAATTCAGGGTTTTGAGGGCAATTATCCAACCACGACAGACCAATATTAATATTGAGGTTTGGTTTTTGCCCTTGGCAATCCCCTTTCCAAACCTCCCTATAAACAGGCTACATCCTGAGAAGGACAAGCAAAGAGAAATCTTAAAAACTGGAAAAAATAAAGCTAGAAATAGAAGTACTTCTTTTCAAAATCATAATAATATGGCTTTTGTAACAGTTCTTACCCAAACAGTGTAATGTTTTGATATATATATATATTACAAAAGTACATGCACACAAATGCAGTCATGATTTCTCTAAAATAAACTTACATATCCAAATAACTGAGATCAAAGAAAAATTCTCCATCCAATCCCATTACCTACTGTGCCTTTAAATTGGGTGGGGGTTTTTTGTTGTTGCTTTTGGCTTGCTTTGTTTTTTTAACCTATGTTACAAAAGCTCGAGAAAAAAAAATGTTAACCATAAATTTCTTTATTTCAGTGGAAGAACAAATAGCATTATGTTTCTTCCAACACTTAGAAGAGAGTGTGTGAATTTATATAAAGTAGGAGAGCTGAACAGTGACCTATCAACTATATCCACTGTGAAGTACATCTCTCTAAATGCAGCAACCAACCTCAAGGACCAACCCTCAACAAGTTATAGGCACGAGGCATAATGATGAAAAGCAAGATTCTTATTGCTAAACTAGCATTACTAGATCCCAATTTCCATGCAACTAAGAATAATAATTGCTTTATTTCTAACAGCAGCTAATAACATTAATCAGACAGTCCTGCTAGGACTAGAGACTATTTATTCTTGAACTAGAAAACAAAATGGACTTTATAAATATCTTATGGTCAAAAAGTAGACCTCTTCTTGCCATGGACTCATCTATTAGGTTTCAATTCATGTTGCACAGCCTCTACAAAAGAATACACTGCCTCTCCAAGAAAAAAGAGGTGTCCTTTCCTCTTCTGCTGTTCAAGTACACAGCTGCAGCTGGACCCATGACAATTGCGGCCCCTAATCTTTTATGACAGGTAGGGGGAGTACACGGTGACAGTCATCTTGCTACTGCCCTCAGCATACAAGTCACTTCAGCACAAGAAGGAAACAGGGGCAGAATTCACATCCATCATGCATGTTGTGCAAGCTCACAGGGCAAAGAGACCACTTGAAATGTACCAAGCAGCATCTTAAAAGGGATGTTAAGAATTGCTAATTACAAATACAAGGCTGCTAGGTAAACTGGAACATTAGAAAATTATTTTCTGATCTGAAACTATTGACCTAAGAAAAAAATTCTTCTATATAGCTTTATTTTGAGCTGTGTGCAAGTCCTGCAATAGAAACAACATGCACTATTATTATAAAACCATTTTGGATACCATACAGTGATAGCAAGTATTGAGAAAAATAACTCTGAGAAATAAAGGATCAAAGCATTAATGTTTCGTCTAATTAAATAGCTTTAAGTAAAGCTTAAAAATAGACAAGATTTCACTTTATCACATCATAAAAGATATTAAGAGCTATTTGCTATATATGATCAATGAAGCAATACCAGCACCAGTTCAGCTAAATGGAGTTGGTTTTATTTCACTTTGACCATTTCAAGGAACCAAGTATCTGTTGGTTCGTTGAACAGCAAACCAATGGACTGACTTGCTCCCAGCCATAGAGCTGAAACCTGAACTGCTCTCACCCAGAAAACACAACTGGACACAATATAAATTGGTAGATATAATAACCAGCAACAAAAGAGCAGAAAATGTAACTCGGAATGAATTCATTTAGTCACATACGGCAAAATGTTTCTCTGCAGTTCATAATAGAATATGTGACCCATGCCACAGATCTAACACTGAAATTTGTTGTTTCAGTTTCGGGGGGGGGGGAGGGGGAGGGGAACAAAATAGGAAAATTTGCAATTTTTTAATAAAATGCTCTACTTGGTCTCAAATTTCATAAAAAACAGCCATGCCACTGCCCACAAATGCACTTAGGTACTTTGCTACTGTGGTCACACTTCAAGAAGGTATACTTTTGCTGTGCACCAGATGTAGCCAGTTAATTTTATTTCTGTTAGTAACTATAACAGCCCTTTATTTTTCTTCTTTATTTTTTAAGTAGAAAAATAATCTGTCAGCTATAAAAGGCAGTGCTATTCCTTAAACATAGAGGAAGCTGAGGAGCCAGGGCAAGCCCAATTTTTTTTTTCACCAAGTGGAAAATACCTACAATGAAGGATGAAATCAGCATCATGCACTTTAGGAGAGTGCCTGAAAACCAAAGTATCTATCAAGTGAACATTTTCACACTTTTCACTCCCTTTCTCTGGAGGTGAATCACCATCTGCCACAGTCTGCAAGAGTCCAGGTCTCATCCAGACAGGAGGCACTTGAAGCCTGACTCCAGCATAGTGGTGAGAGCACTCATCTACTCAGTCTCAGGGAGACTGGTTTCTGCCTAAGAGCTAGAAGACACTGACACTTTCATTTACAGCTGGGTAGAAAATAACCATGTTAATAATTGATGCATCTTGACATAATAGTTACAGACAGACAATAGAAATTTCAACTGAAAATGAAAGAAATACTCAAATAGAAGTTTTAAGAATACTGTTCCACAAAATTATTATTGCATATTTTTCTCAGTATCAAAATATGAGGCATTCTAGATTAAAATTCTGCAGCATTGTTATTTTATTTTTTTTAACCCAGATGATGCTTTCTCTCTATTTTGCTACCTGCTCACCCCGTTTTGTCAGTCATCTTTTGCAGGAATATTTGCATATCACTTTCTTGGAAATTATTTTTTCTATAAGCACTGCTAAATAAACAGTTCCCCCAGTTTCCAAGATTTTCAGAGTGAAGTTGTTCTGCTGATTTCTCCAGTTGCCACTCTCCCTACAGCCATACACGATAATACCACCAGGCTGAAAAACTTTTTGAGTCATGCCTCATCTCCGTGAAAACCAGAAAACTGATTCATCTGTGTAGCATGAAACCAATCTACTATTCAATCAAAAATATTTACAGAAATGTATCATTTAGTTAGACTATCAATTCAGCTGTCATACATCTTCCCTTTTTGCCTCTAATCCTCATTTTGTATTTCTTATTTCAGTTCCTATGAGGAAACAGATTTAAACCTGGCTTTTAATCCAGAATGAGTTTTTAAAATAATAATTACAGTCTTATCTGTCCTTAATACAAGTGTCTCAGCTGCACTAAAAATGGCAGTTTATCAACACAATTTACATAAAATAAGAATAAAAACCTTTGTCCATTCCTAGCATACTTAAATTAAAATTGCATCTGGAATATAGTAAATTATACAGAATACAGCAATAAAAATAATAGCATCAAAAAAGGTAAAGAATATATTTTAATTTGAAGCTATGATATACAGACTAAAAATAAAAAGAGAGGAGTCAGAAATGATTCATACTGACCTGAGTCCATAAAGGACTGTCCCATCTGGATGCAATCGGATCATTCTGTTCTTCACGGTGACACCATGTACAAATGACTTCTTGTCGTTCAGGAAATAGGTATCAGGAACCCACAGCTGATCAGCTACTCTGTTGTCCAGAGTAAGGTTTAGAGGTATTACATTATACGACAGCCTCTTATCCCTCCACGCTTGCTGAAAGTACATTGTCAAGGTATAGTCCTGTGATTATAAAAACAAGAAAAAGTTTGCATTGAAACAGACAGCACACATATGCAAAAAAAAAGAAAAACAACAACCCACCAAATTATGCAAATGCACATTTATTCATTGCAACTGTTTTTAAAGGCAAACATTGGCATTCAGAATTTCTATAAGTGGATTGATTTATTTATTTTTACAGTACTGAACATCTTGTGTATACTTAATAGGAGAAAAGAGAACACAGAAAAGATGGGGTATTTACATTTCATGAATGACTTGGGAGCTCTTATTTCAGTATTTAAAAATAAAACAGTAAAAGAATTGTAGAGGCTTAGCAGTCAGCAATTCCTGTAGCACTGCAGAAGCCTGGGAGTTTTAAGAAACGAATATTCACAGATCTGAATTTCATCTCATGGTCTCCACTGTATTTAGTAGAGCTCTGGATCAGGTCTTATATCTCTGAAGTTGCAGTTACCACCCAAACACTTCTCTAAATAAAAATCTCTTCAAAGTCTGTTAACTTTCCCCTGGGCACTGAAATCAATGGGAAGTCTCTGAGGTTTCTATGCAACAGAGCCTTAGTATTCTACTTAATTTTACAGATGAAGTAACTCTGGTTACTTCAATGGAGCAATTCGGAGAGCACAATTAAGCATCTGGGTAAGTATCTGCAGTATTATGAGACTTGCTTTGTCTAACAGACAGTACCTTGGAGATGTTTGACCTTGTAGTGTTTTAGAGAACAATATAAATACAAAAATTATATTTTTTAAGACATGTTATACAGAGGCAGAATATTATCTATTAGCCTACAGTAGAAAAACATCCATAAATAATATACAAAGGAGTTGTGTATCTGGTCACAGACCACTGAAGACTGTTTCTTACTTAAGAAATACCAAAAGGAGGAATATTCTAAAACCTGTTTCTTGTTTTGCTTGTTCTACAGTAGTCGTGATCAGGACGCAGCCTACTTTGATTTAGAACTCATATTTCACATGTACTTGATTAAATAGTGAGAACTGTTAGCTTACAAAAGATTGCTTTCAAGAGAAAGCCAACAAAAGCTGCTGTTATTATCAGCAACCCCAGAAGATTCAGCTATGTAAGAGTATAAAAGTCTGTATCTACACATCAGTCTGATGCACGTGAAAACAAGAATTCCCACCTTAGAACAAATAATAAACTACGGTGACTATATCCCACAAACCAATTTCTAGTACTGCATAACGAAGTAAAGTATGCAAGATACAAATATTTTATTAGCAATATTAATTCTCATTAGCTACTGGATATTTTAAAGGAGAAACCACTATTGAAACTGTTTTTATTACAGTTAGCAAAGAAATATTAATCTTCCTGCCTAAATACTTTAAAAGCACCTGCAATAAGTGTATTTTACAAGCATTTTCATTTTAAAAAATACATGGTAGAATGTCACAAACATTAACAAAACTGTATAATTACAAGTTACACCAAATAAGTTCTTCCAATTATTTTACTACCAAATATATTTACCTCGTAACTATGCTAATCTGACCAATTTTTATTATTTGAAATCTCTTTCCCTTCCCACCCCCTCAGGATCAGGATGAGTCTGCTTTCAAGAACGTTCCACCTACATCTGAAGAATTTTACTGTTATGCTTCATCACTGTTGATTCACAACCAGATACCAGGAAATGTTCAGTAATATATTGCCAGTAAGAAAATATATTAATCTTCATTATACTAATACATCTCAACATAAAGTAGATGAGCTGTAGCGATTGCTCCCCTATTATCCTTGGAATGTTGCTTTTCATTCCTATTCTAAGGAGTATTCTACATTTATTAGTATGTTGCCTATATATAGACCATGCTTCCCTCTTTACACCTCAGTAAAAGCGGAAAAGAGGAGGAGGAAGAAAACTAAACATGCATGGTTCACTGCATAAAAATGAATTACATAAAACTGTAAAATTGGAGCACTGGTATAGCTGAAAGAAAAGCCAAGCCACCCGGCTCAAGTTCAGAATCAAACACACTGTGTTCCAGAGACAGAGCTGGTGTTCCAAGTCAAAATTATTTGTCATCTGTTGGCCCTAGTTTTTCAGATGTGATCAGAGTTTCTGATCATCAAAACAGGATGCCTTAAATAATGTTTTTATAAAACTCTCACAACCCTGATTACTTTGGTTGATTTGTTTTTTTTGGTGGTTTTTTTTTTAATTATTATTTAAAAAAATGTGTTCCAAGCTACATATTTCAAAGTGTAAGTGAGTAGTCAGAAAAAAGGAAAACCTGTCATGTAGGTGCAATTCATTCCTTACAAAGGAGGGAGGCATCTGTTTTCAAAATCCAAAATGAAACAGTAATTCAGAAAGATGATGTGGAGGTACAAAGTGTCCCTGAAGGATCCTAAGACTCTTTGTACTTTGAGATTAAGAATATTGTTGTCTAGCAGAAATACAACAAGAAAAAGAGTCCGTTAAGCTCACATTAAATATGGGAATCCATGTCTATTCTAAGGCTAAACATCAAAACAATCACGCAAACATCTTGTCAATAGGAAAACAAGAAACAAAAGTAGATGAGTAAAACTGACTAGTAAAGGATGACTTTTTATTTTGTTAAGGCCTTCACATCCTAACAAATCACAGGATGGGACTGTTAGAAGCTTACTCTAAATATGAAGATGAAACGGGAGTTAATTCACTTAAAAAGCGTAGCACATGGCAGTAATTAATGAGTTGAAAGAAGTACCAAACCTCACAATGATTCTGTCATTGTTTACCAATACACATATATAAACTACAAAGGTACAGACTATTTACAATACAGACATAATAAAGAGACACGTTGTACAAATAGAATTAAAGAGGCTCATCAGTTACCCTGAGCACCTGAAGCTTGAAATGCTGTACAAAATTTTATCAGAATTGTCAAAGTTGAGCAAAACATACAATATAAATAAATACTGTATTTTCTGTAAATACACAAATATTTTCATTTGTATACCTTTCATTATTGCATTGTTCACATAGATTTTTTTCCCCAGACACAGAAATTGAAGCAACAGAAAATGGATGGTTACTCCTATTCTGTCCTAATCAAAAAGACCTCTCCTCTTTTCCTCACAAGTTCAGTTTCACAATTTTCTTGTTTCATACAATGAACAGAAGAGCAGCAAATATTACGGAAAGTTAACCTTAATGCAATTTTTTTTCTGTGAATAAAAAAATTAACTAACTGTTTCATTTGTATTAGCATATTTATGAGCAACGTTTTTCCTGAACCCTATGTTTGTGCAGTGCTTGTCTGCAAACACTTCTAGCTGATGAAAATGTAAAAACACTGGGAGATTTCAACTTCAATTTTGATATATAGAATTGTTAGAATTGTTACAGACAGCCAAGCTGTAAGTTAATGACCATCAACTTAACAATCCAAGGGAAGATACTGTGCAGGAAAGCATCAGATCTGAAAACCCACACTTCTATAGTCTTTCATTTCATAAATACTTTCAAATAATTTTTTTTTTTTAAGCGAAAAAAGAAACAGTAGTTTGGGACTGTTGCTGGTTTAGAAAGTTGAGAACACAAGTCTAAACTGACCCATGGGTCAATTACTGTGAGATGTATATTGCTGGTCCTTTTTTTATATTGGAAAAAGGATCAAGGCAAAAAAGGAAAGAGATTTCATGAACTTCTAATACAAAACTAGATGTAGAATTTTTCTAAGCATGAGGATAAGGTGCAATGTGAGAAAAACAAGATTTAAAATATAACTCTTCTACGTTACACAAAACAGGGCTGATTTGACAGTGAAGATTAAGAATGTACACCAACATTTGTATTAACAGGCATATAACACAGCTACTGAAACACTTTGGATATTAAAATCAGGAAATGATGGAGGAGATAAAAGAAAAGTAGAATGAATATTCTGTATATTATAACAGCAGCATGGAGCTGAAGAAGTTATTTACTCATCAGTAATGAACGGAGAACTCATTTGTGGTTTAGCTTAAATCCACTTCTCATCACTTTCCTGGTTATTCCTAAATTGTAAAAATACTTTACTATGTTTCCCAGTTAGACATTTTTAAAGCTAAATCATTTCCTTCTGAAAGCACCTGATGGTAAAGATTTTGCCTGAATATTATATTTACTTACCACGTACATTTAAAAAGCATCTGTTGATAACATATTTAAAAGTGCCATTAAGTAAATTATTAAATGCATACATCTACACTACAAAATCTATTTTGACATATTAAATGCTATTATATACATAAGAAGAAAGAAGCAAATGTTAACTTTGTGTCTGAGGAGTAGAATTATCACCGATGTGTGTGGTTTCTACAGTGGGAAGCACACTCTTCACTACTCTGATGTTCTATATAACAACCCAAAACAAAGTATTTTGGGCTAAAGGAGTTTCAGTTGATTTATTTCAAAAGCCACATCTTTCCCTGAGTGCTGACTGACAATCCTTTCAATCTTCATTTCATGTAAAACCAACCACTACAATGTTTGATTCATAATTACCTATCTCACACATCAAGAAAGTTAACACAAGAAGTCTGCTCTGTTAAAACTAGAGGCACTAAAGTGACTTACATAAGAGTTGAATGAACTGTAGAAAGAATGGGGGATAACAAAGAAGTGTCAAAATAAATTCTGTCATATGCTCTTTCAAAAAAGTATTTCTTACATTCTGCAAATTTTTACTTAAAAAAAAAAAAATAAAAAAAAAAAAACAAAGACAATGACATCAAGAGCCCTACACAGAGTTCAAGCTGAACTCTCTGGATCTATTGAGTTCTACTTCCCAGACTGGCTTCAAATCCATGAAACACCTCTAGCTAATTCTGTCTCCTAAATCTTACCAGGTAGATTTTCTTGTCAGGAATTGTATGATCTAAAGTCTAAAATATTTCCAAAAAGGAAAAGATCCTAACAAGTAAGCTTACCATCTATTCTGCAGCAGCTACCCCAGAATTATTCATCAGCAATTCTCATTTCTCAGCTGAAC